AAAAAAAAAAACAACAAAACCAGCCATAAGTGAATAAATTAATTTGATTCTGATTCCACAGCGCACTGTAAAGACAAAATTAAATAACTTCTTATGTGATCTGACACCTGTTACACCTCAATTTTATACTTACTGTAAAATTGTACTGTGGCTAAACCACCCTAAGTGCCAAGTGCAAGGTTGCACCTGGGTTGGGGCAATGCCAAGCACAAACACAGGCTGGGTAGAGAATGGATTGAGAGCAGCACTGAGAAGGATTTGGGGTTGTTGGTTGATAAGAAACTCAATGTGAGCCAGCTATTTGTGCAGGCAGCCCAGAAAGCCAACCATGTGCTGGGCTGCATCAAAAGGAGCATGATCAGTAGGTCAAGGGAGGTGATTCTGCCCCTCTGCTCTCATGAGACCCCACCTGCAGTACTGCGTTCAGTTTACGTGCCACAAACACAAGAGGGATGTGGACCTGATGGAGCAAGTCTGGAGGAGGGCACGAAGATGAGAGTGCTGGAGCATCTCTCCTATGAAGACAGGCTGAGAGAGACGAGCTTGTTCAGCTGGAGAAGAGAAGGTTCCTGGGAGACCTTAGAGCAGCTTCCATTACCTAAAGGGGGGGATACAAGAAATACGGAGAGGGACTTTTTACAAGGGCATGTGGTGATAGAACAAGGAGGAATGGCTTTAAACTGAAAGAGGGTAGATTTAGATTAGATACTGGGAAGAAATTCTTCACTATGAGAGTGGTGAGACACTGGCTCAGGTTGTCCAGAGAAGCTGTGGCTGCCCCATCCCAGGAAGTGTTCAAGGCCAGGTTGGACGGGACTTGGAGCAACCTGGTCTAGTGGAAGGTGTCCCTGCCTGTGGCAGGGGGGTTGGCATGAGATGATCTTTAAGGTCCATTCCAACCCAAACCAATCTATGGTTCCATGATTCTGTTTCCAGGACAGGGGCGACTGGATGGTGTATTGCTACAATACAGGAACCATTTTACATCTGTTTGAGGATGCTCCCCAACAGGAAGGAAGCAATGCATAGAAATCTCCTCAGACCTGGCTCACCACCAGCTATTAGAGGTACCTGCAAACACAGACAAACGTGCCATCACAACTGCTGTTGATAACCAGCAGACCAGACTGGCAAAGTTGCGTGGCTGCAGGAGCAGGAGAGGTGTTAAGAGGTTACACAGGCCCTACAGTATCCCCCGGCCTTCTCAAAAGAAGCTCCCTATTACACATCTAGCAAAGTCCATACTCCAGGCCCAGCAAAAGCCACTCTCATCGATGCTCAGGCATGCAAGAATCAGCTTTGTTGGCCAAAGTTCATCTGATTTGTCCTTAACAACCTGCAATAATATTAAAACATGATCTTCCAGAACAATCTGTTCCAGTGTTAATTACTGCAGAAAGTCCCCAACAAAGTGCTAGACTGCCTGGAAGAGGTTGTGCATAACACACAACTTGCAGGCACAGCACAAGTGTGTTCCACAAAGCATTAGCATGGCTTTGTCTGGCGATGGTTTACCAGGGTGGTTCCTATTGTCTCTGCCCCTAGCCCTGGAGAAAAAAGATTGTTTCTCTTTCCAGCTGCCTTTTGGGGTGTGAAGATTGCTGCCATGCTCCCTTCAATCTTCTTTGGATAAATTTATCAGTTTTATAAATGAGCAGAATGTCAAAGCAATGTCCTGCTGCCCTGAAAACATAATTTCTGTAGCACAGCTGTACAAGAAGTGATTAAAGAAACACTGCTTAATCTGGTGGGTTTGATTCAAAAAGACTTTCATAATGGCTTAACAGTCCTATATCTTTTTATTCAGTTTTTAATTTTCAGAAATGAAATTTATGTATTTCTAAATATTATCTGATTAGGCTTTGATCCCATGACTTCTTATATGAATGGATCAGGCTTTGAACTGAATTATATGAAGAATTATATATGGGATTGAGTGCGCCCTCAGCAAGCTTGCTGATGACACCAAGCTGTGTGGTTCGGTTGATACGCTGGAGGGAAGGAATGCCATCCAGAGGGACCTTGACACGCTTCTGAGGTGGGCTGATGCCAACCTCATGAAGTTTAACCATGCCAAGTGCAAGGTCCTATACCTGGGTTGGAGCAATCCCAGGCACAGCTACAGGCTGGGCAGAGAAAAGATTCAGAGCAGCCCTGCGGAGAAGGACTTGGGGGTGCTGGCTGATGAGAAAATGAACATGAAACAGCTTCAGTGTGCGCTCGCAGCCCAGAAAGCCAACCGTATCCTGGGCTGCATCAAAAGGAGTGTGACCAGCAGGTCAAAGGAGGTGATCCTGCCCCTTTATTCTGCTCTTGTGAGACCTCACTTGGAGTACTGTGTGCAATTCTGGTGTCCTCAACATAAAAAGGACATGGAACTGTTGGAACAAGTCCAGAGGAGGGCCACGAGGATGATCAGGGAACTAGAGCATCTCCCGTATGAACATAGGCTGAGAAAGTTGGGACTGTTCAGCCTGGAGAAGAGAAGGCTGTGTGGAGACCTCATAGCAGCCTTCCAGTATCTGAAGGGGGCCTATAGGCCTATAAGGATACTGGAGAGGGACTCTTCATTAGGGACTGTAGTAATAGGACAAGGGGTAATGGGTTAAAACTTAAACAGGGGATGTTTAGATTGGATATAAGGAAGAAATTCTTTACTGTTAGGGTGGTGAGGCACTGGAATGGGTTGCCCAAGGAAGCTGTGAATGCTCCATCCCTGGCGGTGTTCAAGGCCAGGTTGGACAGAGCCTTGGGTGACATGGTTTAGCATGAGGTGTCGCTGCCCATGGCAGGGGGGTTTGTAACTAGATGATCTTAAGGTCTTTTCCAGCCCTAACTATTCTATGATACTATGATTCTATAAAGAAACGTTCTGTAAAATGACAACTAAACAAAGTAATTTGCCACACATTCACCTAATAATTCATCTCCTAATAAAAATAGTTAAAAATCTAGATAGAGCAGAAACTTCAATACATATTACTCAAAATAAGTCCAAAGCTGTATAGCAATTACTTAATATGTAATTCATATTATTCATGATAAACAATACTGTCAGAAATTTATCTTCATTCATAATCTCTTACTGTAAGTGGCTTACAAGAATGCAAACCTACCTGTGCAGTTTGCTGTAGGAAGATCCATCATATTTGCCTGAGTCTCACAATTTTAACAAGAAATGCTGGAAGAAGCACAAAGAGAGAAATCACTGTAATATTTTCAACTAAAATGACATGTCACTAAAACAAAAAGTCTAAAGTATTATCACATGCTTACTTTGTAGATACTCTGCATATACCTGTAAAGTTTTCTTACTCTTTTTTAAAGCTTTATAGGCTGAATGTTTGGCACAATGCAAAGTATTCCCTTGTTTGCAAAAAACACTCTTGACATGCTTACATAAACACATGCTCTGCGAAGTGGAAATGCTGTATCACCCACCACACCATCTTTGTCACATCCATTACAATGGCACATTAGTGCCACTGATCTCTGTAGGCCTCAATGGACCAAACTTCTCAGCACTGGAAATCTGATGTCTGTTTTGGGCCACCCCCTTCCAGTCCATATGGGATTGTGTCTGTGCATGGGGTAGTTTAGATTGGATATTCGGAAAAATTTACTCACAGAAAGGGTTGTCAAACATTGGAACAGTGGGCCTAGGGAAATGGTGGAGTCACCACCCCTGGAGATATTTAAAAGACATGTAAATGTGGTTCTCAGGGACATGGTTCAGTGGTGGATTTGGCAGCGCTAGGTTAACTGTTGGTTTTGATAGTGTTAAGGGTCTTTTCCAACCGGAATTATTGTATGATGTTTTTTTGATTCTGTGATGGACCAAACCACTTGGAAATTTGATACAGCGGAGACCACTGAGCTGTCAGTGCTCTAATGACTTTCTTTTGAGGCTAAATGGTTAGACAGGCTCACTTTATGGGCTAGATTTGGCCTCTGGTCTACTAGTTAGGGCCCCTCTCACTACCGTTTAGGCACTGTTCAGCTCCTTGTTCATGCTTCTTTGCTCCATCCTCTAAAAATAGGATGTACCTGTACAGAGAGAACCCTGGGCTTTTCATTACCTGAGCAAAGCCAAGGTGAGACCAGCAGAGATACCAGCTGGCTAATACCAGATCTGTGAAGAACCAGGCTTACCTAGGCCATAATAAAAGAACACCCAGTAACTGTGCCTAGGTAGGGCGTATCATTCACTGCTTCTCAACTTCCCTGGGATATTTATTTCTTACTCATCACTGACGAATCACAAAATGGTTTGGGTTGGAAGGGACCTTAAAACTCATCCAGTTCCAACCCCTGCAATGGTTAGGGACACCTTCCACTAGACCAGGCTGCTCCAAGCCCCATTCAACCTGGATTTGAACACTGCCAGGGAGGGGGCAGTCACAGCTTCTCTGGGCAACCTGTGCCGGTGTCTCACCACCCTCACAGGGAAGAACTTCTTCCTTACATCTACTCTGAATCTCCTCCCTTTCAGTTTAAAGCCATTCTTCCTTGTCCTGTCCCTACATGACCTTTTAAGAAGTCCTCCAGATTTCCTGTAGCCCCTCTTCAGATACTGGAAGCTGTTCTGAAGTGTCATGTGCAGCCTTCTCTTCTCCAGGCTAAATAAGCCCAACTCTCTCACCCAGTTTTCACATCAAAGGTGCTCCATCCCTCTGATCATCTTCTTGGCCCTGCTTTAGACTTGCTCCACACCCATCTTGTGTTGGGATCCCAGAGTTGGAGGCAGTACTGCAGGTGGGATCTCATGTGAGTGGAGCAGATGGGGAGAATCACCTCCTTCGACCCGCTGGTCATGCTCCTTTTGATGCAGCCCAGCACACGGTTGGTTTCTGGGCTGCTACCGCACACTGTCGGGTTACGTCCAACTTTCTCCATGCCCAGTATCCCAAGCCCTTCCCCGCGGGGCCGCTGCGAGGCGGCAGCACCGGCCCTTTAAGGAGGCGGTGCCGGCCGGCGGGGTCCTGATTCCCGTTGTGCTACGTGTCGCTGCGATGGCCGCCGCCAGCCGGGCTTGCGTACCGGGGCGTTCGCGGCGGGGCGGGCGGTGACAGATGTATCTGAAGAGGCCGGCGGGTGGCCTCGCCTTCTGCCTCTTCTACCTGGCGTCCTGCTTTACCAACAAGGTGAGGGAGGGCGGGGAGCTGCCCCCTTCTTCCCCAGCATCGGAGGGACCAGGGCAGGGCGAGGCGGAGGGGATGCGGGGCGCTGGGCAGTCTCTTCGCTGTAGCGGTAGTAGGGGGCTGCGTCTGAAGTCAGTGCTGGGACACAGGAGGAGGAGGAGGAAAAGGAGGAGGGACTGTATCCTCTTCTTGCCCTGCCCTCCTCAGGGAGAGCCGGCGGAGGAGGGCTACCCCCTAGTGAAGCTTTCCCCCTGGCACCTTAGACCAAACGCGCACCCCAGTGTACGCTCCAAGTTGAGAAATTGCATGTTTAGGGGAAAAAAAGGGGTAATATATTATTCAAGCGAATTAAATGTTAGCTATAGAGCCTGAAATTACTCTGCTTTGAAAGCGCTGATAAGGCTGGATAGTTACTGCAGCTACTGAAAGCACAGCCATTCCCCAAGAGATCTATTAACAATAGTACCAAGTATACAAGGGAAAAATGTGAGATATTCAAATTGTTATAGGAGCACTGAAACAAATGTTAACTTCCACGGACTCTTTTACAGTTTAATTAACTTGCAAATTAAGGACAAGAAATTTTGTTTTCCACTGTACAACTTAACTGCCCACTGGTATTGCTGAAATGTCTTAAGCAGGAGAAGTAGGCTGAAGGTGGCCAACTTGTGGATAAAGTTGCATGGTTTAAACATAGCCATAGAGTGAAGCAGTTTTTTCACTCTGGGAGGAGGAGATAAAGTAATAACCACTCCTTGCGCTCCTATTTATCAGAGAGTGTGTCTTTTTTTGGTGCAGATTTCTGAAAGAAAGGATGTTTTTGAAGCAGTCGGGGTATGGATTTTCTGAGGGAGAGTTAGAAAACAGCAGTATTTTAGAGGTGAAAATAAAATCTTACATGAGCATTGACTACTGGTTTCTGTACCACGGTATGCTTGCCATTAAGGACACCCAGAGGTAGGCTGAAGTCCAGACACGAAACAAAGTTTCTAGGGAGAGGTAGCACCCTTGATTTGACAGACTGCTAGGAGCAGTGATTAGTTGAACAGAGAGAGGCTAGAAAAGCTGCCAGATTGCATTGTACGTTGGCAAAGGTTTAACTGCACATGAGAAGAAATTGGAAGGACTTTGACATAGGGCCTCCATTTTCGAACCTGAAGGGAGGTTTTACTGTAATAAAGTTAAAAATAGCCAGAATATAGACCGTTCAGTTGTTGCAGGTGGTTTCTAAACACAAGTATGAACATGCGCAGATATATTGTCCTGATTTAAAACCCAGGTGGCAGTTCTGCCAAATGTATGTATAATATGATCCGTTGTGAACCAGCAACCCTTATCTCTGTATATTGATGCCACCTTTTTAGTGACACTCCCCACACCTAAAAGCTGGATCTTGCAATGTGCTCAGCACAATTTCTGATCTGTTAAAAGCTTTCAGCGTCTCCTTTCACTGTTGACAGCTTATGCTGGCTCCTGGAAGGGGTGGCAGGTACATTTCCTTTCCTCTGAAGAAGCTTCAGTCTTCTTCTCCTTTGCAGAAATAGTATTTATATACTTCATTATGAGAAGTTGTTAGATCCTGATACACATATTAAAAGGCATACATATTTTTGCCTCATATTTGCATATATACATATGTAGTGGGAAAATACACTTGGTACCCATATGCACAGCCCCTGACAAAGCATGCTAAAACAATGGCAGAGAGGCTTTGCTTCTTTCCTCCCATATATTACATCTCCAAAGGGCTTTTGGGGCTGCTTAATATTTTACACAAAACAGTGTGTGAACAGAGTGTCAGGTCTATAAGACAAATTAATCAGAAGGAGACAAATATATTAAAATTGATTCTGCCAAAGGTTGTCCCTGTGGTACGATATGATTTTAACTGAAAACTGCTTGTGTCTTTTTGTGCCTGTTAATCGTTTTCCCATTCAGTGTGATGCATGGGATGTGCTCAGAAAGAGCATTTCAGAAGGTAGCCTTCTCTCTGTCCTTCAGTGTGTCTGCTCTGTACCCCATGATCTTTGGTGTCTGCTGCCTTCCACAGTGACTGGGGCAGCATCCAGCAATTCTGGCATTGGAAGAGAAATAACTGATTTTTTGTTTTGTCATTTTATTTTAGTAAGAACTGTTTGCTTTGTTGCTCTTGTGATTGTTGGTAAGCTGGAGGTGTTTGATGTCCATTAATTTGGTATTTGTTTTCCAGTATGTCCTGTCTGTCCTGCAATTTACCTACCCTACCCTTTTTCAAGGGTAAGTATTGTTTTAAGACTACAGTTGTTTGGAAAATTACTTCCATCAGTAAATAATCTTGCTGTTTCGTGCCGGAGCTAACTTTCTTACCTCTTGTCATTATGGCTTTTGCTGTCTAGAAAACATACTTCATGAAGCCTTAGTAAAGCATTCATTAATGTGTCCTGGTTAGTTTTTAAACACCATAGTGGTGGTGTAATTAAGATAGATTTTCTCATTTCCCATTTTTCTGAAAGTCTTATGCTCCAGCATAGAAAAGTTGCAATTAGAGTACTGCCTGTCTTCTTTGGAGGTGGGGCTCATGGATAATGTGCAGTTTGCTGTGTTCATGAAAACCGACCTTAAACCGATATTTAGGCATACACATATCATGTTGCTTATTTTCACGCTTAGCCTTTGTAACTCTGCATTACAAATTGCTGTCATATCTTAATGATCATAGTGAGAAATGTAACAGCTTGCTAAGTATCCATCAGGGCTGTTAATTTGTGAGACATTTACTGAAAGTCTAGCCTCCTAGTTTTAAGACTTCCCCCATTTGTTCTTTTGATATAGTGGTAAAAATCTGCAGACACTGGATATCTTTAGTTCCTTTACTGATGCTTAACATGGCTTATATTTTTGTCTGACTTGCAGCATCAGGACTGCAGTCAGCTCTAGGAATGATTGCCTGAGGAATCTCCATTTTCTTGGAGTGTATGCAGCTCTATTAAATGTAGAGCTGTGTGTCAATGAATGCTTTGACACACCAACACAGAGACTGTCTCTTGGACAAGGCTTTTATTATATGGGGAGAGGGTTTTGAGTAATTTGTGTAAACTACACATCTTGTAAATCAACAGCAAAAAAGCATACTTCAGTGGCAAGCAACTTCTTTATGGTATCTGTGTTGCCACAGTTACTTCTTTTTCTGTTGTTTGGAAATGCTTCTCGGCATCTTAGTATTTTTCCATGAGTTCTGGCTTTTAAAAGTGATCTTTCCTTAACTGAACCGAGGACACTCAGCTGCACTTTCATTTAGAGCTATGACAGATGAACAAAGGAGGAAAAGAATGTTTTTCTCAGTTCATGCCGTTACTGTTCATTGCCATTGTTTTTGTTCCCTGTGTGATCTAAGAGTATATTGCATAGTGCTAAGCATCTGGAACTTCAACTTCTGTCCTTAAAACTTGAGACAAGAGGAAATCCTTCACAGCAGAGTTGATGGGAATTCATCACTGGCTTTGTTTAGAGCATAGTCAAGCCTGCAGCAGACAGCAAAGATACCTGGCTTTTAAGCTCTCGTATGCTCCTCATATAAAAAGGTGAAGTGAGCTGTGATAGTAGCATTGAATATTCATCATACCCCTGTGGACAATGAGCTCACTCTTCTGTGACACTGTCCAACTGTATGCAATACGACATAGAGTGAATGTTTGTTTGTTTGCATATGTGTAAGATTTTGAATAATTGCTTAAGTACATTGCAATGAATGGGAATAATAAATAAACCCACTTCTACACCAATCACAAATATTGATGTGATTTAATACTGTAATACAGTATCTGTGTTTGAACGATGCTAGATGTTTAAGGTTTTTTACCTGAGAAGCATGAAACACCTCTCTGAAAATCACTGGTTTAAGGGAAGCAAGCTAATAACTTATTTTAAAGATTTAAAGAAAAATAATCAGTATACATCATCAGTCATTTTAAGTTATCTGCAAGCATTTCTAAGGTCTCAAATATTTCCATAATAGACTAAGGAACACCTTTATGGTAGGATAAATCATTATATACATAAGTCAATGCAGAATGTATGTAATTGTTTTATACCTTCCCAGTGATAACACCTCAGTGTTGTGGTTTACATGCAAGGTTTTCTGGCTGTACAGTTTTCTCTAGAGGTTCTGAATCAGAGGCTCATGCAGCATAGTGATGTTATTGTTGATGACACTTGACTTGGTGCTTGCCACACAAGATGTGTCTGTGGAGGGAAAGCAGGCTGAGTTGAAGGGATTTTGTTATTTAAGACCATGTGAAGTCATAGAGCTAATGCTTGAAATTACTAGGACTATACATGTCATCCTTGAGGCTTATTACTTCAGCTGAAGCGAGTCTTTGAATCCTGAAATCGTGTTTCTTTGTTCTAACAATAAGAGTTTATGTCTAAAAGATGGTCATCTCTTGTCACACATCTTCAGATCAAGATCATGGCTCCAACACCACTATTATTGTTGTAAACCGTGTGTGGGAAGAGATGATAAATTCAGTAATATGACTAAGGTAATTGTGGTAAATTTACAAAACATTTGAAACAGGAAGTGGAAGCTCCTGAGTATTATAAAATTTGGAGGAAATGAAGGCCCACAAAAATGGAAGATTCAAAGGGGAATTTTGACATCCCTGCCAACCTAGAAAAACAGCAAATAACTGGAGTCATGGTGTGCTGTGGGGAATTCTGTGGCTTCTAAGGTCACGCTCTATGTGGATTAAAAAAAGCAACTAATTCAGAGGTGCTGTGTTGTTTTTATTTCAGGTGGCAGACGTTAGTGGGCGGACTTCTGCTTCATGTCTCCTGGAAGCTGGGCTGGGTGGAGATAAACTTGTGTTCAAGGTACTGTGGGGTTTTCAGTATCTGCTGAATACTTATTTTCTGTAGCTGGGTTATGACATAGTTAAGTTGGTTGTGGAAGTTACTAACTTGCTAAAATATAAGTCGGGAGGTGTGTATGTGTTCTGCTTCACAGGTGTAGGAGAGATCTTACGTTTTGGTCTAGTGAATGTTCAGTGACACACAACTCAGCTGATTACTGCTGTAAAGTGGATTCAGTTTAGCCTTGGTAAGATAAAGCCTTGGTCAAAAAATCACAGACATTAGTGAAAACTACAAAGGTAGCTTATCCATCCCTCTGTCCACATGTCTCCCCTGCATTATTTATAGTATTTTAAGAGAAACCTTGGTTGAGAGCATACCCTTTCCCAAAACTTCAGTGCAGTGCAGAAGTCCATAAATGTGTTCTGCCTTTTTCTGTAAGAGCTGTGTCCCATAAATGGGTGTCATTCACTCTTGCCTAACTAGCATTTATTACCGCACAGCAAGAGCAGCTGCTGCAGTACAGGATTGACATAATAATCCAACTCCAAATTAAAAGGTGTTTTATAGCAAAGGTTATCTGCTTGAACTGTGACAACTCTGAAGAGTCTTCCAGCATACTGTGCTCTGCTTGGGTGGATCCATTCTGCGGTACGGAATGTGGTGTATCTTTTTACTTTTGCAGAAAAGGTATAATAATTTAGAAGATGTATGCCCACAGCAGTTTTTCAATCACCATCTCTGGAGATACTAGGAACTTTACTAGACAATGACCTGAGTAATGTGACTTGATTCTGAAGCTGGGGTGGTGATTGGACTAGATGGCTGCCAGAGTTGCCTTCTAAGTAACTTTTTTCAGTGATTCTGTGTTAGTAACTGGTGGATTTTCTGTTTGGGATTCAGATGGTTGGCTTGCAAAACTCAATCTCCTGATTTGTGATGAAATCTACACGTATCTCAGAAGAACCAGGCTATGTTCTGTTTTCATGTCCATGCAAGTGACTACATCACCACTGAAACTTAAGTGAAGTTGTAAATAGAAACAGAATTTTGCTTCTTACCTTTTACCTTTAGTGCAGGTAAAATGAGGATGTTGGTGTAAAAGCTGCCAGTAGTATTGGTAGAGTCAGGATTAGGGTCCAACCCTTGCTTTAGTGGCAGTTACTGCGATACATATTGTTATCAAATGCATATTATTTATGCAGATTGTGGCTTCATCAGAACAGTCTAAAATAATACAACCATCACTAATGTCCTTTGTAGTTCAACTTTTCATCACTATTTTTGCTTTAAACTTTAAATTTGCTTTAAAATTTAAAAAGTTAAAAGTTAAATCTTTTTTCAGATTCAGAAGATTATGGGGTTTTTTTTCAAACTTGGAGGACATTGAAGGAAACAGTGGACAAGAAAAAATTTTTACTGTTAAGGACGATGTTTTTATTTAAGAAAAGCTTTTGTGAAAAATTAGTTCGTGTTTTGACAGTGGAGATTTCAGGCCACTAGATGTCAGCACACTGTAGGAAAAGTGATTTAAATGCATCTGGAGAAACCGCTTTATTAGTTTAGCCAATACAGAATTCCTGTTCTAGAACAGAGTGAATGAAATCACCAGAATTAATTGACATGTTTTGGCTATAATTCAGCCAGATACTTGAGCATGAGTTTAAACCCGTCTTTATTCAGAAGAATTAGGATCATGCATTGATGCTTTGTTGAACTGGGCTTGTAGCATGTATCTGCAGTTTAAAAAGAAAAAAACAATCACCAAAACCCAACAACCAAACCCCCTAAAAACCAACTAAACAATAAAATTCCCAACAAACAAGCAAACGTAATGTCTCGAAGCTTCTGTTTATCATTCCCTCTCAACTCTTTTCCCTTCCAAAGGTGATTTTTCTTAGTACTACCACTGGGATAAGGACATTTCCAACCCCCCCCCCTTAGTGAATATTGGTCTCTGAATCTATCTGTTCATTTGGGTTTGGGAGGTATGTGTGTCTGTGTATGTGCAGGATACATATGATATCTGGTCCCCAGTCTTGTCATGCTTCAAATAAGAAACTGTCAGCATTTATTTATTTCCACAAAGTGTCAGCATTTTTGTCATGTGGTCTGATCTCGTATGCTTCTTGAGCCAGTTCAGGTTATGTCAGTGCCTCAGCAGAATTATCACCTAGAGATCATCACCCTTTTGTCTAAAGTCTGGAATAAAATTAACAAATTAAAACATATTGCTTAGAGTAATTTCTCTTAGGTCTTGTGGATATCCTGGTTTTCATCTGTTTTCCCGTGGTCCTCCCAGCTGTAAGGGACTGTCACCATCATTGTTGCTTCTAAAGGCTGAATGGTGACCATCTGCAAAACTTGTATCCAAAACAAGAGCTCTGTGGAGCTTAGAGGAGTACGTGTAGCATCTGCATAATGCTTCCAGCACCACAATCTGCTGCACTAATCCTTGTAAGGCAGGTTAGTCTTATGTGTTCTGGTTGGCATTTCTTGTAGTGCTGAATTTTCCCCCTGGCTAAGCAGCAGCTCAGAGCCTTTCTTGAACCAAAGCTCTGAAGTGTGGTTTAGGGGAACCTATCCACTGACTTTAGTGGCTTTTGAATCTAACCCTACAACCACAGCTCTGTCAGTTCTTTTACGTCACTGAGCTTTTTTGTTTTTCATGTACATCGCTATGTTGCCAACATAAAAAGCTACTAATTGGTTTACATACAAAGACAGATTGTTGGTGCTGACACATTATATCAAACATCCATGCATTCTTTTTCAATCCTTAAATTCCCACTTGGCAGCATAAAATTCTACCCTTACTTCATGGAAAAAAACATCTGAAATCTTTTTCCATGACACTTCACAGTATTGCATTGGTAATGAAGACATGTTTGGGATTCCTAGAATTTAGTGGTTGGGAACATGAAAGAGTGATATTTTTATGTTCTGAATGAAAATTCGGTTTTCAGTGTGTGTTCCTTTCATCTTCCCAGCCCTTCTTTCTTTTCTTCTATCCTCCTTTCTTCCATTTGTGGAAATTCCAATAAGGTGTGAGTATTCTGTTGGTGTCTTATGTGAACTTGCTGGTAATGAGATATGGCAGTTTATATCCTGATTTTAGTGAAATTCCAGTTGAAGTCAATAACCTTAAAAGGAGCAGTGTTTTTATAAAAAATTATGGTGGCTACCCAAAAAAAGCCCAGAGCAAATATCTATGCCAGTAAAAGTTCTAAAGATTACTCTGTTTTTGTGACCCTGGGTTTTTTTATCAAGTATCTTAGAAAATTATTTATTAAAAAGAAAAAAAGAAATGTGGTATATAGTTTTTTCCTTGTCTGTGTTTACATTAATTTTGGGGCATGTTTTATCTTCATCCAGACTGTTCTGATTTCATTGTTTAGTCATCTATTTTTCTTGTATTCATGAAGTGTGGTAGTGTAGCAGCAGCTATATTTACATGTTAAGTCTTAAACTAGTTGGAAGTATAGTCCAAATTAAGGAATTACAAAGCAGTTTGGTTTCATTCTGAGAACCAGTATTATTCACTAATGTTTTCTTGACTTTAGTTTAAAGCTTGGGAAGATTGAATAGAGGTACCTGTGTCTTCAGTCCTGAGAAGCGTTTGGATCAGGCCTTTAGATCGTTGCTACTCCTTTCCTCCCTTGCTCAACATCTTACATTATTGTGTCTGAAATTTACCACCTACCTGATCCCTTTTTCCCTTTAAGTAACAAGATCAAAAACCAGAAAGTGCAAATTCTGAAGCTCATTCTCAGAACTGAAAGCTGGCCCTGCTGCAGTAACCATGGATTAAAAAAATAACAATAATAATCAGATCAATCTGATGACTTCATCCCTCCATTAGTTGTCAAACTGCCTCTAGGAGTTTGGCTTAGCTGAGGGAGCATCATTAGGAAATCTCAAGAGATATGCTTCCACAGAGACAATCTGATCTTTAGGAAGAATCTCTTTTTAAATCTGGCTGGAAAATGAATGTGTGGGTGGGGAAGTGTATTTCTACATAGTGAAAATGTGTGCTGTCTGTGCAAGTGCACTATTTTATGCCTTCATTTGTCAGTTTTTCTTCCTTTTACAGCACATCAAGGAAATTAGTTGAAATTTCTGTCCCTTAAAACCAGTAGAAATAATTGCTATGAAACAAACAATTTCACAGGGACAGAAGCCAGGGAAAGAGTAAAAGACAGAAAATATATCTGTAAATTGTTCTTAACCAGTGTTAGATGAAGTGATTCATTTCTGTTTCAGGATTCTTTAGTAAATGGGAGAAATACTGAACACTCAGACGATGAATTTAATATGCACATCTTTTAAATTCATGTACATACGTATGTATTATTATATTCTTTGCAAGCAACTGTTGCTGCCTGTATGTAAACAGAATGTGGTGAAGTAATGGGATTTTAATTGTTTCCACAGGTCTGAAATCCTGTCGTGGCTTCCTGCTTCAGTACTTTTTGTGGGCATTATTTATGCTGGCTCTAGGGCACTGTCTAGATTGGTAAGAAACACACAAGTAGAAGTCAATTCTTTATTACATCTAATTTATGAGCAAAGAACATTCCCTTCATACAAGGTGTTTGATACTGTTCCTCTGTTGGGGGAAAGAATGAAGGAGGGGTTTAAGTAATACATACACTGTTAATGGTGCTAGAGCAGTGATCCCATCCTACAAAGTGCAGAGCAGTATCAAAAAGCACCTCTGTGATGGTCCATAGCACTCAGCATCTCTCCAGCTGGTGTTTTGCAGAGTAGATCATCAGTCATATGAATTGTGCAAGTGAGGAAGAAGCTGAAGAAGTTACTAGCTAGAAGTTCTCAAGAGGGGAACTGAGGCTGCAGGATCTGTAAGGAAATCCTTCCAGAAGGATGAAGCCCATTTGAGTGATTTTGATGCTTTACAGGATTTGAAAAAATAAATTGAAAGTTCAAAAGGTATTATGGAAAGGGTTAGATTAATCAGGTTTATGATCCATTTGAATCAACAGTAACCTATAAGTGTTCAATGAATATGCTGAATTGAAGTTGAATGCTTTTTACTTAAATTATCTAGTCTTTTGTGGGAAAAAAATGGTGACATGAATTTTTGAAAACGAGCAATTTTTTACTGCTGTTATGCAGTCTGCAAGGCCAGATTCTGCACTAGTTCCCTTCTGCATTCTGTCAATGCATCTTAATCTAATACCAGAGCCAGCTTGCTCTTGCCAGCTCCTAAACTGAATGGAGGATCAAAAGGGAATTTTTGCCAATATTTTGCTTTTAGTGATCCCTTGAACTTCCCAGTGGAGAGATAGGGCAGAAAAGGATAGGAGGTTTTTGTCCTCACAGACAAGTCTGGCAGCCTCATCTTGGACCCAGGTGATCTTCAGAAATCACAGGCATATGCTCAGTAGCCCCATGCCTCCAGGTTAGCTTTGCTTCAGGGTGATTGCATTTGCTTCCTCTTGGTTCCTTGTCAAAGCAAGTTCTATTGGACTTCTCTGGTGTAAACTGAGCAGAGATCCCTAACAAAAGCCCTGCCTGGAAACAGCAGTAAAGCCTTGGCAGCAGCGTCTTTTCTGCCTGCTCACCTCGGAGGTGGCGGAGGGGTGAATCACATCTTCTCTGCTATTTCTTATTCCCTAGTCATCTCTTAAGTTACCTGTCTCCCTTCTGTCCCTGCTCAGGTCATTGGAGAGCGAGATGTACTGGAGTGGCAGATGGGCTGTGAATGGTTTTGACTTATATCCCAAACCTTTCTTAAGGAGATTTTAGCCCAAACCTTTTTTAAGGAGCATCTCCCATTTCTGAATGGCTTTTTGTTGTACATGAATAGGGATTTAGAGGCCTAATTCTGTGGCCATTTTAGGAGGAAAGACAAAAGCACAAGTTGTCTTAGGCCATAGTTAAGTAATGCCGTGTGCTGGGGCTAAATTCAATCCTGCAGATAAGCTTTAATTACAGTAACTTTGTGTACAACAATTTTGTGACACAGTGAGAAGGAAAATGGGCTCTCCCAATTTTGCACCTGAATAGGTTCACCTCTGCAGCGTATTTTTGAATTAAGTGGGTTTATTGCTAAAGCAGAAAGTATGTGTACTTTTTTGATCAAATCCAGGGAGGCCCACCTTCAGACATTCCTGTACACTGGCAGGGCTACACTCTTAATCTCTGTGCCTCTCCCTAGAGGTGCTGTCAGTCTCCCCTGCCCAAGAGTTCAGGGCTGGAACTGGAGGAGTGCTTAGCTCTGGACTGTGATGCACTAACAGAAGTATGCAGAGCTGTGATGGGAGGTTTGTACAGTCTGTTCTCCCTACCTGCCCAACCAGTAAACCTTTCTTTTTGTAAGCATTAAGCCCACTCACAAATTTAAGAAATACTCACATCAAAGGCAACAGACATATGGAGAAGGTTAACTGGGCTGCGCAAACTGGAGCCATTCTTGGCTCCAAAACACATTTGGATTAGCCAAAAGCAAGAGGGAGGAAAATAAAACCCAACAGATTGGCTTCACTAAAGGAAGAATGTAAATTGTGCTGTCAAATTTCCTTGGGTATGGTTATTTCTTGTATTTTCTATTATTGTATCATGCTCAGGGTACTTATGTTAGATGCTTCTGGGTTTATGTTCTTAGTCATCCAGCAACGGGGTTGGGAATTGGTTTTCAGAACCAGTGAAGCTGGGGCTGACAACTTCATGCCAGCTGTGTTTGTGTGATTTCCTTGCTAATTTAGAGGTGTTAAGAGTTATCTTGGTGCAACTGTTGTGTTTATGGATCCATCCCAGTTGTCATTAAACTTAAAATGTTTAATTAGCTATGCTTATCTGGCTTTAGGGGAAAGAAATGAAAAATCTAGAAAATACAGATTTCAGAATGCATAGCCAAATTTAAGAGGTATTTGCTGTTTTTGTTCCACCTGAAAAGGCATGGACATCACTGAGAAATTAACTCATTCTCTACTCACATAATTTAAATACTGTACACAAGCAGGGAAATAGTGCTTCCTAAAACTGCCATAGTCTTTAGATTATCTTAATCGGAGCAGAGAATTGCACGTTTCAACTGTTTGAGAGACCATGGATCTGATTTGGAAGAAGTATTATGAACCAGTAATTCTGGTTGGGTTTGCCTAGGGCAATGGGTGGTTGATTCATTATTGTTATCACTGAGGTTTGTTTCTTAATGATTTCATGTTGGGATGGAGTCCAGATACCTCAGTGGTCCAGATACCTCAGTTTGTTTCTTAATGATTTCATGTTGGGATGGTGTCCAGATACCTCAGTGGGTAGAATTTTGCCATCACTTGTGTATGAACTATTATATTTGTACTCTAATTTTGGGCAGCTCTTCCTAGCAGTAACTGAAAGCAATCACCTAAAATCATTTTGCCCGTAATTCTGTTGCTAGGAGTCAGACTGTATTCTTAGGAGCAGTAGACAGAGATGGGAAAACTAATGAGAACCATTTACTGTGGAGGCTGCAGATATTTGAACAGAGAGGCAAAACTAGAGGCACAAACCTGGAGCAAATCTCACTGTGTGGTAGTTGCGTACAAGCAAACTGGCTGAGCACTCAGAATTGGGAGAAGCAGCAAGTGGGGTCTGTGTTTAAAGATGCCTGTGCCATGTAATAGCAATTGGAATGGGTCTAAGTCCCTTTTAGGAGATGTGGTGTGGGTTTACAGTTCAAAAACCTGAAACAAACCCCAAAACCACAAGCATGTGGGACAGCTGTCCCTTAGAGGGGTGCCTCTTCCTCTGTGTGTGACTGTTGTGGTTTGATTTGGGCATTTTTCTTCTCTCCCAATGGCAGCCAATCCCAGTGTTCCTCACTGTGCACAACGCATCAGAAGTTATAACCTATGGGTTCCAGAGGTTTGTGCAGAAAGAGGTAACTGATCTATTAATTGACACATTCAAGGTATCCCCTGTGATATAACTGCCACATAACAAACCACCTGATTTCTTTTAATATGGGCATTAGTGCCATGTACTTTTCTGATCTTGCAGTGATAGCTAGTCATTAATGAGACCGAGAGAACTTTGCTCTTGACAAGTATTTCTGTTGGTGTTTTGTTTTCCCCTTCTGTTGATGAAACTTTGCAAATATGTATCACCTATTTGATCTGCATTTTTAAGACTGGCTTGGTCCTGCTTGTTTTTCCCTTTTGAAAATTAATATCCACCCTCTCTCATGCCCCATGTAAGATTATCATTGAGCTGAGAGGGAGGAGGCCTGGGTCTCTAGATCTAACCAGTATATCTAGTGTATTGTATGATTATAGATAGATCGCACCATTGCATCAAATGCAGGGTTAACAGTGCATTTCTGGATTTGTTTTGAATGCTTCAGAATCTGTCCCAAGTCTTAAATCTGTCTTAAAGTTAGGAGAATAATTCCTGCACCCTGTAGTAAGAGATGGGTTTCTTTCTCACAGACTCATTGGGAATCCTTCGGGATTTTTAGACTGTGAAATGCTTTTCTAATTGACCAGAGAGCTGCTGTGTAAGTTAGCTCTGAGAAATCATTAATCACGAAGTCATTTCTACAGTGGCCTCTGGCTTACTGTGGAAGGGATTTTCCAGTCATTACATCTGTTGTGTATGTAGAAGACAAACAAATGGTCCATGTTTGCTACTCCTAACAAACTGAAGAGCTCACTAAGGTTATGCCTGAGGGACATAGCAGTGTGTACCATGGTATGTCCCTATGTTGTTGTCCTCTGATTATTGTCTCTGACAAAGTGTTTCATATTTTCCTGGTTATGACTCCTCTTTTTAAAAACAAAAGCACTATGGACAAGGATAATACAAACACAGATCTTGCTAGGAAGCTTCTGGGGAATAATTTTGGCCTAAAGGATTGGGTAACTCTCAGGAATTTAGACCTCTGGTTGTACCTAATAAATTAAGAATACTCTATTTGAGTACACAAAATACACAGTTTCCGTATAGTTCAAGTTAAGTTTAAGGACCACGTGTAAAGTCATGTCTGGTTTTAGGTATATCTGCTGGTAAGAAATCTGAAAATATAAATCAACTTAAAGTAGGCTGATCTGTAATCCTGGTTCTTCTTTTCAAATTAAATTTGCTAAGCAGTGCTCAAACATAACGCAGTGTTGAGTGTTGCTCTTGGGATTTTTAATGTGTTTGGTACAGTAAGATCAGCTGTCATCATTTTCCTGGTTTTGGAAGAAGAAAGCACTATTTCACCCTTTTATTTTTAAATTTTAATTTTTTGTTCATACTTTCATTTTTACAGCAGACCTCTCATCTGAAAGTCTGTAGGTAAGCTCTTAAAAGTGCTCACATTCAGATTCAGACTTGTTTTGGCTCCAGCTTCTGTATTTGCTTCAGATAATGGCACACCAAAACAATGAAGAATGAAAAGCACATTCCCGTGGGCGGTGAGCCTAAATTGCAACATTGGAATAATGAAATAGTTTTAAAATGTATTTTCCTTTTTCTTTTTTTTTCAAACCACTGCTAAATAGGTACCTTTTTTCTCCTTATAAAAATAAAAAAGGCCAGTCTTCCTGAGTAAGAAAGCAGTGCTTGTAGGAATGTTTTCAGAAACGAGATGGAAGCCAGGTTTGATGTTCCATTAATCTTAAATGTAATCTTAAACAGTAAGAGAAAGATAATTAATGTGATATAAAATAGCTAAAAGTGCCTTTCCTAAGAAAGATAGGAAGAGTAAGTGATATCCTGTTCAGCTAGAGTCACTCATATTAAGCTACACAACCTACCAGCACTGGTTGGCTCTAGTTCTTTTGGCTCCAAAAAGGAGATAGAAAGGGAAAAAGAGAAGTCAGCCAGTCATGTATTAAAAGTTTTATTCTACCCTCTCCCCATCCCCTTGAAGAATGCATATTTGCTGTCCTGCACATTCTGTAATCTTTTGGCGGTACTTAGAGTAGATAGTTGGGTTATTATTTAGTGTGCTTAGAGGCACCATCTTCCCAATTTCTTCCTGTTGTTTCCATTATCTGACTTACTGTGGCCTTGTTTTAGCCACTGGATTATTGTCAAGGGCACCAGGTTTGTTATCATCTTTATTCTGTATTTTCCTATGCTTCTGGAGAGCAGGAAAATAAACTGCGAAAGCAAGTATTTGTTATTATTAGAAATAGCAGTCCACAGAAATTCCACATCAGAGTATTCAGTGTAGCTTGTAGAAATACTTACTCAGCCACAGGTTAAGAATTTATTTAGTCCAAGTCAGAGGACTAGAGGAGGACTGGTGCTGTCCTTAATCCATTTCTATTGTACTACCACTCACTCCCACTTTGCTCTGTGTTCTGGAGTTGAATCATAACTTTTAATGGAATTACCTTTGCTGGAATTGTTGCAATACGCAATTTACCTTAATGAAAGAACTTTGGTAGCCATTCACGGCCAGAAATTTGTTGATTTTGGCTTTCTGAACCAACCTAGGGAAGCCAGATGGCAAGTGAAGAATAATATTCCTTAACCAAAAAGCTTGTTTTCGTCACTGCTGAGGTGTTTTATGCTGCTTTTTATACAAGTTTGCTGTGTATGAGTACATGATGTAAAAACTTTGGTGGCAGAAATTACTTCTTAAATATGGAATAAAAAATAAATTAAATGTCAGTGTAAAATTGAGTGGAATTGCCTATACTTTGCTGAGAGTACAAATCCAGGTTACAAGGGTTTGGTCCTGTTTGTTTTTTCTCTTCTCCACAGTGTGCTGTGCCTCCTGGTAGCAGCAGCGTGCCTTCCTTTATGTGACACACAGGTGAGCTCTGCTTTGTAAAGCAGCTCAAATTGGATCTTGATGTTAGACATCTTAGTATACGAGGGATGTAGCTTTTACTTGTAAGCTTAGGGTGGGATTCCTGTGAAGGAACTGAAAATGTTGTCTATTGCTGTGTTGTAGTCTTGCTGGTGTTAATGTGTTTGCATCATGATAAAACCTCTGAGCAGACATACAGCTCATCAGTGAAGATGATCACTGGAGAAACCATGATTTAACTTCTTATAGGGCTTAGAGCTAACGACTTAGGTTTGGATTAATTGCACATACTTTCAGGAGGTACCTGAATTAGCTGTATGATAACTCTGTAGCTACTGGAGAAAGAAGGGAGGTACCTCCAGAGAGCACTTAGTCTGGCAAAGATCTATTCCTTGGAAGTGCTTTTCTCTTCTGGAGTCTTAGGAAGGATGCTTCCTGGATTTAAATACTTTAGTTAATATGTGAAGCCAGGTAGGATGAATCTGGGAACTTGTCTGGATGCATTTGACCAAATGTAGTCATCAGAATTGTTGCACCTGCACTAGCTCCCCTTGTAGTCTGTGGTGCAGAGCAGGAATTTCTGGTGTATCATTCGTTTCCTCAGAAAGCAGACATCTAAAATATGTCATGTGAATTCCTTTTGAAAATGTTAATGTTTATTTCTCCCCATTGATGAAGAGAGCCTACCTTGCTCAGAGACAGATATCTGTGTAAAGCACTGTTTTGGATACTCTGGATAGTTGGAGCATTGGGGAGAGATCCCGTTAAGCTGCTGCAGGGACTGAGAGGGAAAAGGAGACAAGGGAAGGAAAACCTTAGTGATGTTCCTCTGATCTTCTTGCCTCTCCCTGACTGCCAAGGCAAGACTGAACAGATTGGGGTCTGTGTGCTCAGATTGTTTAAGATGGTGTACATATCTGAAAGAAATAGAGCTGTTCTTGCTAAGACTAGCTGAGAGCCTGGGTAATGGGTGTATGCCAAGTCTCTAAGTGGGACAGGAAAAACTTTAGTCTTCCTAGTCTTCTTTCATCATCTTCTCTTTCTTTGTAGCATAGCTCCTACTCACTGTACTTGCTTTTTGAAGAGGCAGGGAAATAGCAATAAGTATGTTACATGAATGTGCTTTTATTTATGTAGATGTTCTTTATTGCAGTTTGATCCAAATGGTTACTTATGGGCTCTAATTCACTTGATCTGTGTTGGTAAGTAATTTCTTTCGGAAATGGGATTAGAAAGACTGAATGTGTTGAAGAAATCAGCTTTATTATGAAGTTACTGATATATAAAGTTCTTGATGAAGAACTTGGAAACACTTGAAAAGAAATAAGAAGTTCAGTAAATATGAGAAATGCATTCCTTTTATATCTTTACGTTGAAAACAACAACAGAATAAGCTAGATATTGCAGCCAGTTAACAGTGAATGAGAAAATGCACATACAATTTTAATCAGCACTAAGCTTTTCTGGGAGTTTTTGATGGTTGCCTACTAAGAGATGCTTCTTTCTGAGGGGAAAAGAAACATGAAAAAAAAGCTGGAGCTTTATTGCACACACTGATTTTATCTAAAACTGACAGAAATATTCTAAAATACCATGGAATGTGCTCCCAGAGGAAGGATGTTGAAATGTTGGGATTTTTTATGCAATCATATGCATTTTAAAAAAGAATTTTAACAATTAGTTGCATAACCTGTCAGGTTTTCTTTTGTCTGTTTCAGACTAAACATTGATTTGGATAAATCAGAATTCTTCCCTGAAAAGCTAGAAACAGACCCAGATAATGGGAAGAAAGAGAGAGTAGTACTTTTTAACTAGGAGATTTGTGTCTTTTGGAGCATTAAGCTGGATAATAAGGGACTTCTGTTTGTTTCTTAGCTGTCCAATAGTCTTAGTGAGTGACTCATTCGTATGTTAAGTCTTGTCTGCAAATTAGGGAAGATTCCTCCTTTATTCTGTCTATCCATACTGTAAATTTTTCAGGGCAGAGGTAATATGTTTATATGTATTTGTGTCTAGGGAGGTCTAGAGATCTCATTCTAAAATGTTGTTAACATACGAATAAGAAATAGTTTTTTTGGGGTTGTTTTTTTTTTCCCCTTTAGGAAATGTTCTATAGTAAACAGGGGCTCTTAGAGAAAACAACAAGCTAAAGATTTTTCACTTCACATACTTGTTTGCTGTAACAAGTGATGTTATTGCTTTCTTAAAGCCAAGAGGTCTCATTTGTAAAACAGTGCTAGGCCATGGAGGTGGAAAACTGCTTAGAGAGTCTTCAGGAGGTCCCTTCTGTGTGTTTGAAACATGTAGGAAGTGCCAACATAATGTTTATGCTCAAAATATAACTTATTTCCATTTCTCTTGTTTTGGAGAGAAAGTTGTTGATACAGCCGTTGGGGGTGGTGCGTGGTGTAATTAGATTTCCTATCAACCGACACAGAATAAAGATGCCACAAGGAAGGGCAAACAGATGAATTCATTTGTTGCACAGTTAATCAAGACAGAGCATTAGAGAAAGGACATGTGTGCCACCCTTTGGCTTGTCTAGTGGAGACAGAATCGTGGACATCTATTACATAGTGTTCTACTGAATTCGCTTTTCATTTTCTGTTTGTGAGTAAAAAAAAAACCAAAACAACTGAAGCCTTGAAGAAGGGATCTAAAAGAACCAGAGCTTGAAGCCGTATTGTTCCTTTCTTGAGTGCTTAAAGCTTTTCCCAGAATAGAAATGGGAGCCAAGAGGGGGGTAGGTCAAGTATGTAAAGAGCCTGGAAACTCTAGAGCTGAGAGAGCTCTGAACAGGAAAGATGGCTCAGAGCCAACAGATGTAGGGGTCTACATAGGTGAACACAGCATAGAAGGTACCCAAAAAGGGGGTGGGCTGAAGAAACCATTCTGTGACACTTTTCTGTATGTATTCACGTACACGCACAGAGATAGGAGTTTTCTTCGGAACTAGAAGAAGCACATAGCATGACAGTACTGTGAGATTATAATGCTTTGAAAACCATTAATTTAAAGCAATAGGTTCATTTTACTCATGGTTTTATGGTTTAGGTATCCTTTGTGCCATGTTGCTAGACTGTAATTTAGAGGGGTTCCATATCTGCTAGTATCATGACCAAACAAGCATGGTTTGTCAGAGTGATTGCATGTTACAGCTATTACACATGTCATTTCACTTACAGGGGCTTACAAAGTATTTCACAAGTTGTGGAAACCTAACTCTTTAAGGTAATGCGTTTTCATATTCTTTTAAAAAGAAAGAGATTGTTATCAAAGAAGGTTAGAGACACATCTGTGTAGCAGTCCAGTAAACTGTAGGTATTTCTGTGTTATCAGTGTGAACTGAGCCATTCCTGGTTAATCATTAATGACTTCTCTTGCAAGAGGAGCCTTATTTATTGTTGGTAACAATAGCGTGTGGTTATTGATAGTCATATGCCTAACGCAAACACTGAATTAGTTTTAAACAGTGTATTATCAAAGGGTGATGACTCAGTTCAGAAAGCAGATCCTCTCGTTACTGGCACAGGCATTTAAAGGAAATATTAGTTTGTGTTAGCCTTGAAAGCTGCATGGTTTGAATCTGTCAGTATCTCCCTTTGAGACACAATCTCAAAAGCATTTAGCGGCTGGTGACTTCCCACAGGACTGGGATGGCTGAGTACCTTAAAAACCTTACACTAATCCCATGTGCATGTTAGATAAACATGCCAGACAATAGCTGTATTGAAAGCAGGTGACATTACATGTTTACAGTGTCTATCATCTGCAGTTCTCTGTATCAAAGGAGGTAGATATGTTACCACTGCATATTATGTATATGTACATAATACACACGTGTATAAAATATGACTAAGCTCATTTATTTCAAAACCATTTTCCAGCTCTTCTTAAAAGGTCTAAATTTTAGTCAGTCTCACTTTATGTTCACTTTAAATGAGACTCTCACTGACATAGTAACAACAGAAACAATGTGCAAATGATGTGTTAATTAATATGTAATTAATATGTGTAAATTAATATGATTCATATATTGATAATGTAAATAGTTTATTGTTAGAATGTATCTAATTATAATATAATGTTAGTATTACCTAATTATAATTGTCATATATAATGTTATGTAATATTACAATGTTATAATACTATTTAATATACTGATCTCTTACACTAAGTGAACTTTGGTACTAAAAGCACCTTTTTTTTCTTTCCTTCCTCTCCCAGTGATCTGGACCAACAGTACATCAACTATGTATTCAGGTAAAATGAATAAGTCTTTGATACACCATAGGTGGCTTTATGTGGTATGTGTTTTTATTTTCAACCATGGCTTGTTTAGGAAGCACATAGCTACCACTGCTTAAATGTATGTATTTAGTAGGACATTCACTGGAAGAAAGTGCTAAACTGAATGGTTTAGCAGCTGAATGTTTTTGGCTCAGGTTGTAGGTGCACATGCCAATATACACCTGGGGAGGTAACAAGGTGTTAATTATGAATTTTTTAATCGTCATGTGCACAAATAATCTATCGTTTCCAGTAATAATATTTACAGAGCAACTCCCTGGCAATATCCTGCTTCAAAAAACTAAACTTGAACAAAATTGCCAGAAGGAGAGGTAGTGATTACAAAAGTATGACGTGCAAAGAACATGAGCATAAGTGATTGTTCAGAGTGCTGTTGGTAGGATTGAGTAATTCAGACTTTCAGTTGTTTTTCTGATTTGGAGATATAAAAGTGGCTTGTTATTTTGTAGTTAGCGAAAGAGCCTGAGTCACTGACCAGACTTCCCTGTGGGTTTTTATATACAAAAAAGAGTCAGTCTTTCCTCAAAGAGCCATATAAGCCAAAGCATTTGGTGTGCATTGGCTTCTGCTAGATTTTTGTGAGGCTTTTATTAGAGTCTCCTCCATCCATAATCACATATTGTATATGTTGACTTATTTTCTTGGAATGGTAGCTAAAGTTGTGTGTGGGAATACTGTAGAGTACTGATACTAAGTTCTAAGAGAGGATAGTCAAAAAGAATGAAAGAGAACAGACGTTAGGAGTAAGCATAACAAAGGTGAATTTGTGTTTGCCATTTGATTGGATGGATGTATGCTCTTGTTTATCACGTTAAAGATGCTTGATAGGAGCACAGCAGGGACACCAATCTAGGACAGTTACTTCACTTCAGTTCCCATTTATCTTGTGAGCATCAACATGATAATAATGTGTATCTCCTTTTATCTTAGTTCAGTCAAATCTTGTATTTCCATAAATAAGTCATGCAGGTCTCTGATTTTGCATTTGTATGATTCCAGTGTCTATTCAGCAGGGTCCCATGCATTGACAGTATCCGAATACCAGTTTGCTTGAAGTAGGCTCTTGTTTAAGTCAGTTGTTTTCCATCTACTATGAAGTGGGAACAAATAAATATTATTCAAAAAAGGTAGTTGCATTTGTTGAAACTGTTTTGAGGAATTAGTCATAGAACTTGCAAAAATGTTGCTGTGTGCTAAAATAACTCATGAAGTTTTGAATGAGCTGTAGCTATTTGTTTCATGTTGAATCATGAAATAAGCAGTAAAATCAGTTGGTTTTTCATTTGGCATGTGCCTGCCGATGGCTCTCAGTGGTCATTTTAGTTTGAAAAAGGGCCCGAACCTTTAAATTCAGATTTCTCACTAAAGGTCTTAATTTTGCAGCTTTGATAGAAAAGTTAGGGTTGGGTTCCTGCTCTATTAGTTGATAATAGCCCTTGCCTGTGAAGTTGTGTCCAGCAGAGAGCAGGAGTTCCACATTACATGGCAAGTGTAGCTATTGATTTAGAGGCTTTTGAAAGAGAGAAATTTCTCATTAAGGAGTTGTGAGGCTCAGGGCTATGTATTTTAAAAACAAAAAACCAATAGTGGAATTGTGCAGATTGGAAGATGGCTATTTTTAGCATCTGCTTAGAAGCAAAAATGTGTAATCAAAGCTTGCAGAGATTTTCATCATTAAGGGGCTTGAAGGTCAGTGTAGCTTCTAAGATGATGGTGCAAAGCAGTAGCTGGAAAACAGATGGCTTAGAGGAGCTAGAAGGCAGGATATTTATTTGTTTGGCTTGGGTCAGTGTATCTCTGTATGTATATGTATTTATATATGTATTTACGTATGTATTTCTGTGTGTTAGAGGAGCTCATAGTCCATAGCATTTGGATCTCATCTTGTCTA